TGAATAATACGAGTTGCGCTCACATAGCCGATGTATTGGGTTTATGATGTGGGGTGTAATGTGCATGACTTCTTATGTGTATATGCATTTGACTGTGCAAACATATCTCCACGTATATATGTACGTATAATTTCTATGTAAATATATACGAATCATTTCTACTTATAAATTTATGCAACATTTCCACGTATATATATATATATATATATACGTACCTATACAAGCGCCTTGCCACGTGTATGAAATACTTGTCTATCAATATGTCGATAAATCTGTATAGTGCTGTGCACAACTTGCTGTTATTTCGGTTGCCTCGTATGACGGAATACAATATGAGGGAATGAGTATGAAGTCGGACCCACCTGAGCAATTATGTCTCTTGCCCACGGAGGTGGTAAGAGACTATAGGCATGCATGTTGATTCAGAGGACGCTAACAACTCAAACACCGCGATAAGGATACGCACTACCACATAGTCACAGTATTACAGTCCCCTACTCAACAGCATTCAAACACTTCATTTCAAGAAAGTCGCCGCGGAGACACACACACACACGAACATACTTGCATACATACATACATACGTACATACATACATACATACAAACATACCTACATACATACAGACATATATATTTACATACTAACATACATACATACATATACGCACACCCACGTCTCACACAGGTACACTCCCTTGTCCACATGAGAGCCTTCGTCGAGGCGTCTGTCTTGGCGCAGCTCATCAGCGAGAAGGGCAACGTCACGCGACAGGCCATTCTCCGCATGGCATACAACCCCCCCGCAAGCACACCCACACCCTACACAGACATAGACACCCACACACAGAGAAGCACTGTGTCTACGGAGGGCTATGCTATGGGTGTGCCAGTGGTCCCCATAGTCAACAACAGGTACTTCCACTACTTCTGGGATCAGACCACTGTGGAGATACTGCTGAGCATGTGTGCGGAGAGGAATGTCCCGGATCACCAGCGCCTGGCGGTATGTCAACTTTCCTTTTGCAATTCACCAGTGTACCTTTGTGTTATGTATATGCTGAAGTTTGAATGTGCCGATTCCAATTCACCAGTATACCATTGTGTTATGTATATGCTGTGGTTTGTATGTGCTGTGCTATCGGAGACTTCAGAGTTGTGTTCGCCTGCACCTGTGGCTGGTTAATTATGTATAGATGCATTCTCAAGACAACTAGAATGCCTGGCACCACTGATCAAAGACTACAAATACATATGTCAGTGTACATAACACCAATATTCACGAGCAGTCTACCATCACATTCACTTTGTTGCTATGGCAATACAGGCGCAGCTGTACAGCGACAGGGGGGCCAACTGGTGCAATGTGGCGGAAGTGCAGAAGGCCTGGGCCTTAGACCGACAGAAGAAGTTCCTCATCGAACTAGCGCATGACTTCATGCCGTGAATGCGGGGCAACTGTTGCCGAGAACAGAAATAAAGCCTTCTTCATATCACACGAGACGTTTGAAGCCTCCTTCATATCACACGAGACGTTGAAAGCCTCCTTCATATCGCACGAGACGTTTAAAGCCTCCTTCATATC